ATTTTAACGGTGGCCACTTTTTTCATATAATTAGTGCGTGGTCCTTTTGATTGAATCGTCGACGTGGTGGGTGTCAGCGAGTAACGAAGTGAGTTCCAGTGCCGGTCGAGAACGGGGTGAGAGTACTCGTAACGATGGACGCCGCGGCGCCGCCGCGTGGAGGAGAACGGGAGCATTCAGTATCGAATGAGGAAGCGTAGTTGCCACGGACACCTGTAAACCGGGCGCGGGCTCTCGCAATTTTCGAGGCGAGATTTGCTTCGTCGTGTCGATGAGAGCCAGTGACACGTTCGCGAAATGCATGCTGAGACTCGAATCTGCAACATACGCATAATTGATAAACGATACCGCGTGAAAGATACCGTATATAGTCTTGGGTACGTTCTCGTATCAACTAGTCGCTACGTCAAAACTCCACACAGACGCATTTCCTGTGAGATTAAAACTCGCGCCATTGTTGCTTCTCTGAGGCGTGCAAGACAATGGAAAAATTGCTACCTGTGTCGATAGGCAGAAACTGCGGTAATGGCGTGCCATTTAATGCACTCCCTCGTGAATCCGATAAATAGGTCATCGTAATGCTGGACTCGTGATCAATGGCTGATCGGTTGTGTGGAAAGGGTTGCTAATTAATTCGCGCATTTTTTACGACGAAATACGCGGAACGCTTTTTATTGGTGTAATCCGATGATGTTGCATGTAAAAATAAATGCGCGAGAACAAAGATAAGCTATAATGCGTTCTTGCGTATCATATTTTTCAAGCACGAGACAATAGCAAGATTATTAAATTCTACTTTCTTATTTCAAGCATTCCTTTGTTTCTTTAAACGTAATAAGCGTATATTATTTCTTCAAACGTTAAATAGTTTTTGTGTATAGTGAGATATGACAATATCCAATTCTTCCGATGATATAAAGTATCGATGATATAAAGTTACAATATTTTTTAATCTTTGGAAATTTTGTTAAAATTCAATACGTTATATTAAATATAATTGTGCTCTTCATATTTTTTCGTGATAATATTAATGAATTAATCGATCGCAAAGTGTTTTTGGTCTAGCTCGCAGAAATCGATTCATGAACCTGCATATATTTCAATTATACTAATAATTCTCTTGATCTCACCAAGAAGATGAAAAATTTACGATAACGGGACTTGGCAAAACCGATCATTTCCAGTCGCGGCACGTTTTTCCAAAGGGAATACAAGAAATCTCTTCTTGCTGATAGTGAAATAGTAAATCAACCGCCCCGCTTGTAAATCACCTAAGTTTTCGATGCCGGTAACGATGCTCACAACCGTTATAAATCGGGAAGAAGTATCGCAATAAATGACAAGAATATTCAAATGAGTGTCATTTCACTATCTCGCGGCTTATAGTACTTGAACTGCATAAATCATGTAACTGCATAACTTTATGCATAATTGTAATTTGGATTTACAGTCAGAAATGCTGCAAATATTTTTATTAAAATTTTGTTTTAGTATATAAGTTTCGAGGAAAAACTTTGATTGTTTATATAAATTTAACATCGTATTATCGTTTTCTTAAAAATCTCATTAAACATACAGTTGTAATATTTTTCAAAATAGGAATTAAATTTAGGAATATCACGTTCTCGAATATTTTTTGTTTCAGTGAACATATCATAAAATCTAATTAAGATATATTTTATACTAGAATGATTATATCTTGACGCGAGCTGACCGATTTTTAGTTTGACATAAATCTGAAATGTCGAATAATGCATGATGCTCTAAACAAGGAATTCAGGTTTTAACTAAAGCATGATTAAGAAATCATGATGAACGGCATTTATCGGCGAATATTTCGACACGCATTAACAATTAAAAGCAACTGTCGCTGATTCAGAAGATAATGCAAATGCATGCCGCGAAACGACGCCGCGCGCAATGAGAAGTGGGTGTGAAAGGGTCGTTCACACGTACGAAATCATTATTTTCAGGATCCCCCGCGAGAATGCTCGAAACGCTGGGAAGCATCGTCGCGCGAACGTAGCGCGTTCTCTCTGCGAACGATAATACGCCGCCACCTTTCAGCGATCGAGACTTCGCGAGTATACGCACAACCGAGGCGCGCGGGAAGAACGCTTGGTTATGACGGCGAAGTCGGGGGGTGCGTTAGCGAGGGCATCGAGTATCGATTAGCGGACGATTCGCGCGGAATTGAACTCGACTCGTGACACCCTGCACGATGATGATAATCAGTGACGCAGCGGGCGACAAAGCGCTACCGGGCGACACTCGCGGCGGTGACCGCTGCGTGTAGAAGTGAACACGCAAAATTGTGCAGTGCATCACGGTCACGACGGGGCACGTCGGGACCGGATTGATGAACATCGGCAAGTCGGTGTCGTGCCTCGACCTGGACCTGTAAAATTCATCTGCCATGGCGCACCAGGCAGGAGGTCTACCGCAGTTGCGAATAAAGTTTTGTAATACAATCGCCGCCGGTCTCCAAATAGTCCTCTTGCTCACCGTCCTACCTCAAGGTAAGCTCACCGAGACGCACTACCGATATTTTATGATGAGATTGTACGCGACATTACTCGCGTTATGATTTTCTTTATTGGTCGTCTAAGCCGTTTCAGAAACGAAAGGGCACGAACGATATTTCTTTCAACGACTTGAAGGTATTGACGAGAAAGGGAACCATGAAACTACCGATTCGAATAAAAGAGGCCGTTACATCTATCGATTGAAAGATAGGATATCGTAATCGATTAATATAACGTGGCATAGGTATCTCGATTGAGTTACAAGATATTGAAATATCAAATATTAGAAATTAGAGTCACATAAATCTTAAACTAAATTTTCTCGTTCAAAATACTTTTTATTTTAGTTATATAAGAGCTATTTTAGGCAATGCATTTGATTTTTAAATGTCTTTATTATTTAAATGCATAATTGCTTTTTTTAATCTGCGATAATGACAATGATTATGTATTACAAATTTTTAAATATTACTTATATGAAAATTATTATGAAATCAAGATGTATATAAGTATGACATATCCCTGCCTATTAGTATTCAAGGACGCTTGCATTAAAGAGATTTCTGCACGCGATGACTTCTATCAACTCGTGTCACTTCGTCCGGTTATTCTGTCTTGATATAGAAATCCGAAAATAACTTTAGACGAGTACATAATTTAACGAACGACACTCCCGCGACTATATTACAACGCCGTGTTTGCCACAGACATTTTTAGTCGATCGACACGTTAAATATGGTAAGAAATCATCAATATGGCACACATGGATAAAGTCGATAATTCTAGTCGAGTCCATGCAGATATAACTCTAAAAGTTGCAAAAAGTTATATTCAAGTTAATAGCAATAGTGACTTGCTAATTGCTGCCATATGCTAACCCAGATATTTTGCTTTAGGTATATGCCTTCAAATTAACGACTGCATTCCATATATGTCTCATTCGCGCTATGTATGTATAATTTTCACACGTATATGTGGGAGGATGTTGTTTATATGATTTATGCGTAACTGATTACGCTAAGAGTGACGCGCATACGCGTATAACAAATCGGTTCGTCAATCATAATTACGGATGACACGTTCGGTAACAGTGCAACGTATAATAAAATCACCGCAACCGCGGTGCGACCTGCCATCACAGCGCATCGGCGCCCGACCGCGACAAAACTACATTTCGTTCGGTCAACGAAGTTTCGTAGCTCTGTACGACTCAGCCGGAATTAAATCCCACGATTTGAGAAACTCTCTCTCGGAAAAACATCGACATGTCGCGAACAGCTTCGCGAATAGCGAACTTTCGACATGGCCGGCATTGGCTTCTCCTATAGAACATTTTTACAATGTTAATCTTTGCGGAAATAGGTTTCGACCGTTAGGAACTTGTTGCGATTTTCGAGAAAAGTTTTTTGTCATAGAGTAAACTCGGGTAAGGTGGCCAACCTATGTTCATTCGATGTTTCATGGCGAGCTAGATTGAAAAAACATAGGTTGGCCATCTTTCCTGTATGGCCATCTCACCCGAGTTTACCCTGTTGTCGAAATTGAAAAGAAGATCAAACGGTAAGATGGAAGATGTTAGAAAATTCAATTCTAATTAATTTAAACTCTAATTCCGAATCTTTCTCAAGTTTTCTTTACTTAATAAAGTCTCTCTATATGGTTTGAAAATATTTGTATAAACAAATTACTTCTTACAATAGTAAAACAAAGACAAAAGAAGAAAGATATATTTATACCTTTTAATGAAGTGATATACATTTTAACGCTGAAACTTTTTTTCTTTTCTGACTCAGTGCGCAATTAAAGTACAACGAACGCATTTAGAAAGTTAAAGGTGACTTCACTCGAGCGAGAAAATATGCGGAATCATAAGTTAGCGGGAATACCAAAGTTCCGCGATAAACATTCTGAAGCGAAATATCGTGCGACGATTGAACTCGCGTGATCGTTCGGCAATACTAAAGTTAAACCGCCGGATTTAAACTCGGAATTTATTGGTTCGTTGAGATGGATCCGCGGCATTAATATCCCTTCGCCGTCATCGCTCATGTGTTAAAGGTCGCCTGGCAAAGCGATAAAAATTGTTCGGTGTAGATAATCCTTCAGTATTAAGAGCTTTAACAAATTTTTACGGATACATCTTCTTTATCATTATTCTCTACATCTAAATTACAATACATATACTCAAAATATAAAATATTCTACCAATAACACATTATTCACTGAATGCGATATATTGTTAACTAACTTTCGTGTAGCCACATCGAATAGAAAAAAGCTATAATTATAATACGTATTGTAAGCAACTAACTCGTAAACTATCTCTGCTTTTACTTTCTGTATTAAATAATCATAAGATTTCTTCTGCACGTTTTTTGTTATCAATATGCTGCGATTTTTATGCTGATCGATCATTGCTTCACTCGTCTTCTTTGCGTTGTGTCAGTCGTAAATCAATCAGTGCAGTAAGTGGAGAACGATGGGCAGCCTCTCCTTTCTTCCTCGGCTTCCTCGGCCGCGCGTCCCGATTTAATTTCAATTCAGAATCTGTTAGCTTTAGCCTGATGTGCTGATGTAAAATTCATGGTCGTGTGTTTTGAATGGATCTGGTCCGCGACATATCTATTTTCGATGGCGCAGCACATTTCTTCTCCGAGCGAGTCCGAGATTACACACAGCTCGCAGTAATAAGTCATTCGATTTATCGCCGGTCTCGCGCGAAATATTTTCTCGGAAGGACTAGATTTCAAGCCTCTGGACCTTTGCTCGTCCTCAACCTCGCCTCCTTTCCCGCACTGATCGCCGACCGATCGTGAGTTATTCTCGGTCGAAAGGAAAAAGCCTCCCTGCGAAACTGCTGCGGGCACTGCGTATTTTTCTACGTTACGTTTTACGATGGCTGTTTCTCAATTACCGAAGTATTGAAAAGCTCTCTGAAAATACTCTCAAAGAGGTCGGTCTTCAAAATAGCGCACTGCGTTTCTTAACGAGCAACATACTATTTAATATTTATGTACAGAATTGTGTGTACAACTCTCTTTCTTGATTTTTAACGCGGCAATTAATTATATTTAAATAAAAAATTTTTAAACGCGAAAATTTAAAATTATTATTTTTAAATAAATAGTTTCTATTGTATGATGGATCTCTCTAAATTTTTTGGAGTGGGAATACTGCCATTCCAGTGAGATTTTACTCTTTTGGAGTAAGATTTCACTCTTTTTGGAGTGAGATCTCACTCCAAAAGAGTGAAATCTCACTGGAGTGGCAGTATTCCCACTCCAAGAAATTTAGAGAGATAATTACTACTATATTATTTTTAAATGGATAGTTACTTTACTACTAACTGATGTTAATTACTACTGATTTGAAGTTTGTCATTTTTACGTTGCATAATTGTCAGCTCATAATTTGGAGTGCTTTATTTATGACCGAAAAATATAATTCCACGTGTGTTGTGCTGCGTGTGTTCATTCTATATACCACGCACGTGGCTTTGAAGAGCAATAAAGCATTAACATCGTTTGAACATTCAATCGATAGTAAAGTCGACAGTCTGTCAACTTTAACATCGATCGATTAACTACCAAGCTAGACTAATTAAGTATTTGTCAATGATTTGACGCATATAAGTTGATTTAATGCAAATTTCTGATAGATATTACTGCGTTAAGAATGATATTAAAATAGTAGATACTTTCGTGTTTATAGAAAAACACGACATAGGTTAAATATTTATATTGTATCAAATGAAGAAGAAATTATAACTCGTTAATTTATTAAGTTCTATTTTAACAATTATTCAGATAGAACAAAATACTTGTTTAATCACCATATTATTTATGAGCGTGTCACGCTTTCGATAAACACAATTCAAAGAACTTTCACATGCCCATTCTTTGCAACCATCTCTAGGATACATATATCATTTCTCTCTTTACGAAATATTTTTCCGGAAATAGTTAATACATCGTCATCGATAAAACAGCAGCTTTGACTCGCTCGCGTTCGCAACACAAAATATCTCGCTCGCTTCGCAGTAATCAGTTTTGAAGTTCCGACGAAGTAATCTGCGATCGATGCCCCAGAAAGGCATCGTGGATGGAAAAACGTCGAAGAGAGGGCGGAAGTCAGTCTTCGTTAAAATTTCAGAATGTTCCGTCGGGGATTACGCTTGCAACGTGTTCATTTAACGCGTCGGCTCGGCGTTTTACTGTCACTAGTTGAGCACCACGGCTGTCGGATATCGAGATTTTTACATTGCGCGTATGGTGCCGCAATGGAGCAGAGACGCCTATAACGTTGATATCGATTCTCGAACTCGCAACCACGCTATACTCGTACGCGCGAACATACATGAGTATTAATCGAAGAAAGTACTTTTGTCGCGTGATTTACCTTTCTTTTTTTTCGGGATTTATTTTTGAATCGACTAAACGGTATCTCCCAATACGCGTTTACAAAACGAAATTAGCACGAATCCGACGATGACAGCTATTGAAATTACATTACAATTGATGTCGGAATTGCATTGATTCTACACCAAAATTTAATTCCGTCATTCGATCCGCGAGATTTTCACGCGTATCGCTATATTGGTCCATCTGATAATTAGAATCCGATCGTTGTGTTTTATGACGATTGTAATGTGGTGTTTGACAAGGTAGTCGCGCTATATGACTGCTAATGCCCTCATTGTGAACGGAGTAAAAAACTGTTATTTCGCTCGAAGCGGTAAATTGCACGAGCTGCTGCGATTTCATGTAGAGATAAAGAAATTATTATACGGTATTATTGTTTGGCACACGATAACATCATTTGAATGAACATGGATTTATAGAAAACACTTTACAAATAGGCATAGATATCATAAGGCTTTGAAACTAGTATTGATATAATCTAATAGAAACTATTGTAAATGAAATCCAATTACAAAATTTGGTTCAACCAATAAACATATACCATTAGATAGGAAAGAACTTTGTCCCAAATGG